CTGTACCTATTGCTGCTCATCTTCTTGGGGAGGGAGGGGGCAGAGAGTAAGGAAGGGGAGGAAAGCTTGAAGTGAAGAGGGGTGGGGAGCAGGCTGGACTTGCCGAAGGGCTGTGCCCCTGCGCCCATTCTGAAGCGGCTTCTCTTGATCATGGCCACGCCCCTGCCCCCACCCCCCCCAGCTCTCACCCTTTGTCCCTGAGCCCTCCAGACTGGCTTTTCCTGTTCTCGGCTTTGTGTGAATGTTCAGCAATTACTGCAGTGTTATCTCCGGCCCACTTTGGAAAGGGATGATAGGCCAGGCAGAAAGAGGAACTGAAACAGATTTGTGTGTGATGGTGGTCAGCGCTTTCTCTTCTTGGTTTGAGAGCCAGCAGAGCTTCCTTTTTTCCCAGAGGAATAGCCAAGGGCTTAAACCCTGAAAGAGTGTTTAAGGCCCACTGGCCTTGGAGAACAGCTGCTTCTCCCACAGAGCCAGGAAACTGGGTTCTCTTTTGAATTTCATTTCATTTTTTTTTTCAGTTAGCACAAATCCATCTTTTCTTCCCCACTGCCTACGGAAAAGAAATAAATAAAAATAAAACCGTTGTACCAATACACAGTCAAACCAAATTAGATTCTGGCATTGGTCATGTCCAAAAAATAAATTCTTCACTCTGCATCCTGAGTCTACCATTTCTCTGTCAGGAGGTGAGTAGCGCGCTTGCCTTTGCAATGTTGTCATTTGTATAAGCTGTGCTGCTGTTTCTGCACGCTTCACTCATTTAATTCAGTTCAAACAAGTCTTCTTAGGCTTCTCTGAACCTGTCCCCTCCATCATTACTTACAGCACAATAGTATTTCTTTACAGTCATACCGTAATTTGTTGATGGACAACACCTTAGCACCTAGTCGTTTGCCACCACAGAAGAGGCTGCTATAATATTGTTGTACGTAGTGGGCCTTTTCCTCCTTTTTGGATCTCTTTGGGATAGAGGCCTAGTAGTGGGTCAGAGGGCATATATAGCTTAGTAACTTTGGGGGAATAATTCCAAATTGTCTTCTGAAATGGACTGTGGGATATTCTCCAGCTCTGGTACTGATTCACCCTTCGGTTCAGTAAAATCAAATTCTGAATCATGGGACGTAAATTCAATTAAATTCAACAAGAATTTATTAGCTGCCTAATCTATACCAGGGGCAGTTAGGTGGCACAATGCGTAGTGCCAGGCCTAGAGTCAGGAAGACTTCTCTTCCTGAGTTCAAATGTGACCTCAATCACTTACTAGCTGTGTGACCTTGGGCAAGTCACTTAACCAACCCTGTTTGCTTCAGTTTCTTCATCTGTAAAATGATCTATACAATGACCTGGAGAAGGAAATGGCAAACCACTCCAGTGTCTCTGCCAAGAAAACGGGGTCACAAAGACTTGGATACAACCAAAATTTCTCAACAACAGAAATTTTATACCAGGTACATACTAGGTACTAGAGATATCAAGACAAAAGTGAAATACTACCTACCCTTAAGAAATTTGCATTTTATTATTGGTTTCCCATTTAAATTGTGACTTCAAAGAAAGGAAAGGGAAAACGTTCCTTCCCCATTACAGGGATAGAGAAGTCTCATAAGGTTATATGGAGGAAGGACCTTGAGTAGATTTTAAAGGGTAGCAGGATGGGAGGGAGAAGGGCATTGCACGATCTATTAGAAAAAAATGTGAGAAGTTTACAGAGGGTCTGTGTTGGAGAATCATAAGAGAGAAGTACATCACAAAACTTTTCCAACTTGTAAAAGAGAACTGAGAAATGATTAGCATAGTGGGTGGAAAAAGCTTTGTACGTGGATTCCTATCTTCTAGTTCTCATTCTGCTACCAAATATTGGTGTGATCTTAATAAGAAATCATAGAATTTGGGTTTTTGTTGTTTGTTTGCTTGTTTTTGTTTTGGGGTTGTTGTTGTGGTTGGCAATCCAGGTTGTGCCCAGGTGTCACAGAGCTAGTAAATGTCTGAGGCCAGGTTTGAACTCAGATTCTCTTGACTCCTGGGCCAATGCTCCATCCATTGCACCACCTAGCTGCCCCTGAAATCATAGACTCTCAGAGGAAGGAGGTAAGCTGCGAAAGGCCCTAACTGAAAGGGAATTCCTTCTATAGCCTTTCTGATATTCTAGCCTCTGCTTAAAGATACATGTCCTCCTGAGACGGACTATTCTACTTTTAGATAGCTTTAATTGTTAGGGAGCTTATCCTTACATCAAATCAAAATATGCTTCTGCATCTTCCACCCAGTTCTGCCCTCTGGGGCCAACAAGATGAGTCTAATCTCTTTTCCAGATGTCAGCCCATCACATATTTGAAGGTAGTTATATGTTGCATCTACTAGTGCTCCCATCCTGCCCCAAACTTCCAGATTACCTTCATCAGACTAAATATCTCTATTTCCTCCAACCAGTCCCAAGAGGGAGTGCCATTTCTCCTGAAGCACATCACTCTTCTAGACATGTTTCCTCATTTGTAAAGAAAGAAAGGGAACTAGACTGGACAAGAGCTCAGTTCTACAAGCCTGTGATATATGAAGTACATCTTAATGCCTATCTCACCTCGGTGGACATGGTGCCATCTAAAGTGACTCCTTCTCTGCCCTGTTAAGGGGGCAAATTTGATCTCCAAAGCCAATTCAACCTCTAAATACTATAATCTCTCCCTCACTCCTGATTTCACAATCCTAATCACTGAAGACAGGAAGTGCCCACTGGAGGTCATTGAAACCACTCCCATCCTTTGGGCAAGACCTAAATGTGAGCCTATAGCTGGACTAAGAGGACAATGCAGATATGAGGACCAAATGGGGAATGACTTTATAAAGCTAGATAAGTCTGGAGAGGGCAGAACCAGGGTGTGGTGTTTTATGGAATCTGCCAAGGCCAAAGTACCTAGTGGAAGCAAATCTGATCCCAAACCTCTTCGGGGGTGTTTGTAGACTACAAACAATCCAATCAAACCCTACCAATGAAAGCCCTACCACACTTGAAATTTGCCTCCTCCTGCTATTACCCGCCCCCCCTCCCCCAATATTGTTTGTCTAAGACCATTAACCTCTACATATCCCCTTCTGAGCTAGCTATGGCCAAGTCATATAACCTTTCTATCTCTCAGTATCTTCATATGAGGGGTTGGACTCATGGCAGCTAGATGGTGTGGTGAGCGTGGAGTCAGGAAGATGTGAGTTCACATACTCGCCAGCTGTGACTCTGGGCAAATCACTTAACCACCACTGCCTCAGTTTCCTCATCTGTAAAATAGGGGTAAGAATAGCTTCCACCCCCTCCTCCCAGAGGATCAAAGGAGATATTTGTAAAGTGCTTAGCACAAGGTACGTCTTTGTTCAGTCATTTTTCGTTTATGTCAAGACTCTTCATTTGGGCTTTTCTTGGCAAAGATACTGGAGTGGTTTGCCATTTCCTTCTCCAGGTCACTGTATAGATTTGGAAACTGAGGCAAACAGGTTTAAGTGACTTGCCCAGGGTGACACAGCTAGGAAGTGTCTGAGACCAGATTTGAACCCAAGAAGATGAGTCTTCCTGACTCTATCCACTGTGCCACCTAGCTGCCCTATGGCACATAGTGGATACTTAATAAATGCTTATCTCCTTCCTTCCTCCCTCCCTCTTTCTATAGTTCCTTTCAGTTCTAAATTTATGCTCCTTTGAGTTCCAAGTGATTTTTAGCCAGTGTTTATTAATTTGCAAAGGATGGGTAAAAATCTACAAGTAAATTACTAAGGAAGGGCAGAAAATCTACAAGTATGCATAAATGGTAGAGTAGTTTAAAGAGTGCTCTAAAGTTATCAAAAACAACCTGGTTCAGAGCCAACAAACTTGTCCAAGGATCCACTTGGACCTGTCAAACTGACCTCTCTGTATCCAGCCTCAAATATACAGGATACATCAGCCCTACTTGGCTGGAAGAGATACAGCCTGACCTTCCTCTCCATTTCCACCTTCTTCTTTCAAGATGCTGTGCTTGACTTTCTGTTTCTAACTCTGTCCTAGGGAGGGATCAATATGGTCTTCTTCCCATTACCAGCTCTAAATCACAAATCCTGATGCCAATCCTGAATATATAAGAAAGCTGTTGCAGATATGTACAGCTAAACTAATTCAGAAAGGTTTTTTAGTTTGTTTTATTTGTTTTGTCCAGACCTGTGATTTCTTTTGTTTTGAAAACTCCCAGTGGGAACTTCCACTAGTAATGCAAATGTGTAACTGCTCTGCTACTCACTTAGTTTTATACTCCCAACACTCTCCTCTCCCCCAGAGAGTTGCCTAGGGGCAGTAAGTGGTTTGGCTGAAGTCCCACAACCAGTATGTGCTAGAGGAGGCCTTGAACCCAGGTTTTCTGAATTGAAGGAAGGTTCTCTAGTTACGTCACCATTCTGTCACTGAAGCATGTCAGTATATCATGTTTTCCTGGGCAATAGTCAGGGAACATTCCCTAGAGAGGGAGAGGTGTGAGTGGACTCCGAGTGAGAGAAGGGCCTTGATTTGGCAGGTGATGGTGGGTGATGTAGAAAAAGATCTTCCTAGTCTAGAAGTGTGGAAGTTAATCTAGATGTGTGGCTGCTCCAAGAGAAGAGACAAAAGAAGCTGTGTCAAAGTGGGGAGTTCTTCCTGACTGGACTAAAAAAGTCCAAGTTGAAGAGCCATAGGATATAAGGGTAAATAAATAGATACAGGTAAAATTGAGGCTAGGATGGGGTTGAAGGGCGGGAGCAATCACGAAAATTCCTGATACTTGGAAGATGCCTGTTTCCCCCCCTCCCCCCAAAGTGTTTTCACATCCATTCGATCAATTTATTCATAAGCTTTGGCAGTTAGTGACAGCCAGGACTAGAAACCTTAGGTATTTGGCTATTGGTTCCTTCCTCTTTGAATTTTTTTTTCTTTAGAAGATTCAGAGAGTAGCAGAGGAGTTAGTTGTCCAGGTGTCCCTGACCCTGTCTCTCTGTGTTCTTTTCAGGTCTGCAGGCCCAAGTGGTCCAGGTAAATGACACTGTATCAGGCTTCATCGGCACAGATGTGGTACTCCACTGTAGCTTTTCTAACCCCCTACCCACGGTGAGGATCACCCAGATGACATGGCAAAAATCCACCAATGGCTCCAAGCAGAATGTGGCCATCTACAATCCAAATATGGGAGTCTCAGTGCTGCCTCCCTACCGAGAGCGTGTGACCTTTCTCCAGCCATCCTTCACTGATGGTACCATCCGGCTCTCCCGTCTCCAGCTGGAGGATGAGGGTGTCTACATCTGCGAGTTTGCTACTTTCCCCACAGGGAACAGGGAGAGCCAGCTCAACCTCACTGTTCTAGGTAAGTTCACCCCAGTTACAATACCACGCTCTCCAGTGATGGGTCTCCTGATCAATAGCCTCCAGGAGTTCCTACATTGCTTCCGTTTATTGAGGGGATAGGGAGGTAGCTTTGACTGGGACCCCAGGACCTTCTACTTTCCCTCTTGGCCATAATGATCTTAGCCATGTCTCATGAGGGTTGATTGTACCAACCATGATCCTGGGCCTCAGCCCTGAGGTTTACATATGTTTAAGTCTTGGTCAGGGTGTTCCCATGCTACCACTGGGACAAGGATGAGGCACCCAGTTAGCTCTGACATAACTAAGCAATAGAATTTGATGAACCATTGTTCTGACCCCGGAGAAGTGCTCCTTGGGAACATCATAGTGAGCCATGTCAGGAAGCAGGGAGTTTTTGAAGGTATGTTACAGTTTTTTTTTGGGGGGGGGACAATGATGGGGTTAAGTGACCTGCCCAGGGTCACACAGCTAGTAAGTGTTATGTGTCTGAGGCCGGATTTGAACTCAGGTCCTTCTGAATCTAGGGCTGGTGCTGTAGCCACCACGGGGAGTTTTTGAAGGTCATAAGAAGAGCTACTTCTGGAGCAGGTAGGGAAGATTAGAAGGCAGAGCAGAAGGACCTGCATATTAGGATGAGTACAAGACCGTGGACCAGACAGTTAAGGGAAGTTTGGGAATCTCCTTTTAGGAGAAGGGAACAGTGTACAAGGTACAATTGAAATAATAATAACTACTGTTATTATTACCAACAAGAACATTTAAGTAGAGTTTGAAGATTTGTGCGATGCTTTACATAACATTATCTGAGGACCCAAACTTCAAATTCTAGCTCTGACATTTAATACCTTTGGGACTTCAGGTGCATAACTTAACCTCTCTGGGCCTCAGTTTCCTTCAAGTATGAAATATGGGGGGTTGGATTAGATGACTCCTAAGGCCCTTCCAACTCTAAATTTATGATAATTTATTATCAGTCTTCTCTGCATGCATTACAGTAAGACCCAGGCAGGAGACAAAGGTTTCCAGACCTCTGGAAGGCCAGACAGGCACCATCAATCAATTAATAAGCATTTATTAAGTACTTACTATATCCCAAGTACTGCTTCATACAGGTATAAATGTTCTATCCTGTACCCTCATCTCTTTTCCCTCTACACTGTCTCAACAGGGGCAATTTCATCTGCCCTCCATGACTTTATATTTTATTTTTGTGGAGGCAGTCAAGGCTAAGTGACTTTCCCAAGGTCATACAGCTAGTGTCGGAGACCAGATTTGAACGCAAGTCCTCCTGACTCTAGGGCCAATGCTCTATCTACTGCACCACCTAGCTGCCGGTGAGAGGATGCCACGCGAGTGTGCGCGCACGTGCACGCACGCACATACACACACACACACACACACACACACACACACACACACACACACACCCCTTATGACTCTATCAGCTCCATGCGGTTGGCTCCCAGATCTATATTTCCAGCCCCAGTGTCTCCCCTGAACTTAACTACTACATCACCAGTTGCCTCCTCTCTGCCCATCCAGTTACCACCTTATCTCCAGCCCTCACCCCCTCTCACCTAGATTTGGGCAACAGCCTCTCCCTGCCTCAAGTCTCTCCCCACTCTAGTCCATCCTGCACACTTCTGCCAAAATGATTTTTTCTTTTTAAACATATTTCCACATTTGTCATGTTGTGAAAGAAGAATCAGAACAAAAGGGAAAAACCACAAGAAAGAAAAAAAAAGTGAAAATAGTATGTTTCCATCTGCATTCATATTCCATAGTTCTTTCTCTGAATGTGGATAGCATTTTCCATCATGAGTCAAAGTGGTTTTTCCCAAGGGCAGGTCTGACCATGCCACTCCCCCAACTCAGTCGACTCTTTCTTTCTATGGCTTCTAAAATCTAATATAAACCCATCTCTTGAGCTTTTAAAGCCCTTCACAAGACTGACCCCAGCCCATCTTTTAAGCTTTGTTAGACATTACTCCCCTCCAAACTGTCTTGCCCTCTGTTTCTCCACCTCCATGCCTTTGCACTCACTGTCCCTTGTTGCTGGGATGCTCCCCTTCCTCACTTCTGCCTCAGAGAATTCCTCTCTTCCTGCAAGGTATGGCTCAAGTACTACCTTCCACATGAAGCTTCTTGGATTTCCCCACCTAATCCATGCTTTCCTTCCCAAACAACATTCTGTTGATGTTACTTTGTATTGATTTTGTATTTAGTCTCCTCATGTTTATTCTGTATGTACTTGTTTATCTCCTACTTGTCTTCCCTCTTGGAATGTCCTTAAGAGTAGGAATTGCTATTTTCTTTGTACTTAGATTGTCTCTTCCATGTTCTTCTCTACCTGATTAGTGGGAGGAAAAATCAGTGGGTAAAGGGTAGGCAAGAGAGGGACTGGGGACTCTCATCATGTCCTGTCTTATTTCCTGGCAGCCAAACCAACAAACTGGATGGAAGGTACAAAGAAAACCCTGACAGCCAGGACTGGACAGACAGAAAAGGTCCTGGTGGCCACTTGTACCTCCGCCAATGGGAAACCACCTAGTACTGTTTCATGGGACACCCGGCTGAAGGGTGAAGCTGAATTCCAGGAGATCCGGCACCCCAATGGCACAGTGACAGTTATCAGCCGATACCGCCTAGTGCCCAGTCGAGAAGCACATCGGCAGCCTTTGGCTTGTGTTGTCAACTACCAACTGGACCGGTTCAGTGAGAGTGTCACCCTCAATGTGCAGTGTGAGCCAGGGAAACGGAAGAGGAGGGGAAGGGAGAGGAGGAAAGAAAAGATGGGAAGGTGGGACAAAGGGGGAGGTAGGAGCTTTAGGGGAAAGAAGTCTCAGGGCTGGTGGGTGAAAATGATCTTGAGTGACCAACTGCTATCTCCTCTCCTTGACTCCAAATTCTTTCCCCACCATTGCATCCATTTCTTCTTTTTGTTCCCCATCTTCTCTTTTCTATCCTCTTGACTTTCTTTTTTTACCCTCCCTCTTTTCCTTCTTTTCCTTTCTTTTTGTTTGTCCTTCTCTGTGTATGTGTGTGTATGCACACATACTCTTTCCCTTCTGTACTCCTCCCTTCATCCTCCTCTTTTTTCTTCCCTTCTTCTCTCCTCTTGTCTTCTCTCATTTATCCCTCTTCCTCCCCATAAACCTGCTATTTCCCTTTTTATACTTATGCCTATGCTGTCTCTTTACCCCTTCCTCTCCACATCACATTTCTTATGCTCTTTCCCTATTCTGTACTACATTACTGTTCCCTTCAATTTTGCTTCTTTTTACTATGCCCTATTCTCCCCAACACATCTTCCCTGACCTCTTCCATCATTTTCCACCACCCCATCCCCAACCCACAGATGAACCTGAGGTGACCATTGAGGGCTTTGATGGAAACTGGTACCTGAAACGAATGGATGTGAAACTCACTTGCCAGTGTGATGCCAACCCTCCAGTCACCCATTACCAATGGAAACTGTAAGTATTTCCTAGTTCTCTTTCCTTGGCCTCGTTGTCCCAAACCTTGGGCCAACACTAAGACTACTACCCCCAGATTTAGTCTTCTCCCAATGGGGTGGGGTGAGCAAGGGCTATTAATTATGGGGGGAAATAATCTACAAGCATATGCAAAAGAATATTATGTTATAAAGTATCAAAAGTAGAATCCATAGTGTCTTAGTAACAACATCAGTAGCATAAAAAAATAACAACTGGATGAGGATTTGTTAAAATTTCTCCCAGTGTCCTTCTCTACTCCTTCCAAGAGAGCTGTCCTATAACAAATAATTTTTTTTAAAGAAACAGGAAAGGAAAAAAATAGCAAAACCATTTGAGCAAAATCATACATTGAGAAAGTCTGAAAACATATGCCGTATACCACACCCATGAATCTCTCCTGCTCCAGGGGAATGGGTCTTCTCCTATTTCTTCTTTGGAACCATGCCTGAAGAACAATGTTATTAACACACGTTGCCATGCCAAATCTCCAAGCCACAAAGAACAAAATTCTTTAAAAACAGAGATCAAGGGGGCAGCTAGGTGGCGCAGTGGATAGAGCACCAGCTCTGAAGTCAGGAAGACCTGAATTCAAATCCAGCCTCAGACCAAATACTTGCCACTTACTAGCTGTGTGACCCTGGGCAAGTCACTTAACCCCAATTGCCTAAAAATTAAAAAAACAAAAAACAAAAACAGAGATCAAGTAGAAGAAATTATAACCAGGTGGGAACAGGATGAGGAGGTATATGCCATCCCTTTCTGCTCCTAGAGATGTCTCAAAGATGTTTTCTGTGAGCCTGTAGAAATGAGCCTTTATCCCAGTACACTAATTCAATTACCAAAAGGAGTCATTTTAGCCACTGGTACAATTGTCTACAGAGCATTAAGCAGAAGAGAATAATTGCAGAGTGGTGATCTGTCCTTGCACCATTTCTACCTGAACTCCATCAGAAAAGATGAGGAGAAGGAGACAGCAGTGATGATGATGATAATAATGTTTCTGTCAGAACTCCACTGAATGTAAGGAGACAGGAATAATTAATACTAATGATAGCTGACAGGTATAGAGTACTTTAGGGTTTATGAAGCACTTTCACTATGTTGTTGGATTTCACAGAATCATAGCATTTCAGTGTTGGAGGGGACCCCTAAGGCCATGCAATCCAATTTGGAAATACCTTCTGAGCTGGTGTTATTCAATCCCCTTTTCCAGATGAGGAAACAGAGATTCAGAGAAGAGTCTTTGCCCATGGTTATACAGCAAGCATGTGTTAGAGGTGAAATTCAAACCCAGATCTTTTCTGACTCCATAGTTGTACTCTCGCCACTGTTTCACACCATACCCTCAAAGAAAAGTCAGAAGTATCACTTTAGAATAGGTCAGAGAAAGGAAAGACCTCACTCTTTTCTCTTGTGTTCCAATGAAGTCAGTCATCCAGTAATAGGCTTCCTTTATCATGTCTCCCTGCTGTTTGATACTAAATGTGTTTTCATTTTTGTTCAGTGATTCAACTTGACTCAGCTTGCCCCAACCCCCAATATTTCTTTTTGAGTCATCCCCAGGAAAGCTGGCCTTACAAAGTGGTCAGAATCATGCATTTTCCTGGGCTTACTCTCGCCTTTTCCTAGGCTGACAGGAAGAAAGGGTAGGGAGAGGATGGATGATCAGACTTCCTGGTTTCTCTGGGGTTTCACTCAAAAGTCTCAACTCTCCTCATGTTAGTTACCCTACCACCTCATTTCTGATCTTCATGACATGCAGTACGGGGAGACAGATAAGGTCAGGAGGATGGGAAGCTAGATACCTGGGTTCAGGCTCTTCATATTCTTCCCTCTCCCACTTCATCCCAAGGTTCTAATGATCCCAACCTCAGATTCAGTTGTAGAAAATCAGTGGGAGATCAAGGCTGAGAAATAGGGGCAGGTTAACGGGAGAGAGAAGCTGGAAGGATGTAGTTAGAAGTAGCTAGAACGGCGAACACAGCCTTGTCAGAGATGACTAAAAAAGGAAATCTAAAAGGGCACGAAAGCAGTCATGTTAAACCATCACAAGGAAAATGATACATAAAAGTACCACTTGTCCTTGGATAAGCATGTCATGCTTCCCAAAATCAGCTCTGTGACCAAAGGAACAGGCAGCATCCCGAGCTTCACTCTGTATCACAGCTGGGGGGTCTGGAAGAAACATCATCCTTGTCCTTGGGAGACAGATAGGACAAATCAACATGTAAAAAAATGGAAAACGCATTAACAGGAGCACAAGCTGGTTGTAGGTATATATTCAATTCTACAGACTTATTGAGTGTCTTCTATGGACCACTCTCTATTCTCAGTGGGAACCAAGTGAGATTAATCAGGGTTGAGGGAGAGAAGTGACAACGCTCTGTCAAGGAGGTAGAAAGAAAACGTTTCTCATGATGGAAGGGTGGAGGAATGATCACTTGATCCCTTCCCTTGCAGGTTGAATGGCACTCTCCCCTCAAGTATGGACACCCAAAACAAGACCCTGTTCTTTAAGGGGCCTGTGACCTATAGTTTGTCTGGGACCTACATATGTGAAGCTACCAATCCCATTGGCACACGTTCAGGCATGGTAGAGGTCAATATTACAGGTAAGAAGCTTATGACTGTCTCCCATCCCCGCCAGTCCCATCCTCACCTCTCTCCTCTTCTGGCCCCCTTTCTAAGGCAGCATGGCTTGTACCCTAGGTTTGGCCTGAGCCTTAGGAGCTTGGATCTTGTCTCTCAACTGGAGCTACAGATGAGGTTGTTGTCTACCTTTGCTTATGCTCTCTCCCTATCTCTATCTCTATCTCTCTCTGGGCTCTGGTGAACCCCACTCTGTTGTCTTTCTTCTGTGCTTGATTGAGGTCAATGATGAGAGAGAAAGTGTCAGGCATAGTGAAGGAGGCTGGAGGAAGAAGAGAATCATTTGTTCTTTTAGGGTGAGTTGCTAGGGCAAAGTTCTGATGTTTGGAATTTCCCTGTAGGTCCTGCTGAGAGAAAGCCTATGTGTGATGCCAACAGTCCTCTGTACTAGTTCTGGTTTGCCCAGCCCAATCTATAAAAGGTCCTTGTTTCCTCCTTGGCAGCATGCCTGTAATTCTGGCAGCTGCCACCAGGTGAATGGTAGTATCTGGCTTTGGTTGTATCGATCAGGTGGTAGGCTATGCACAGTCAGTTGAGAGAAAGCAAGAGCATACAATTAGGGCTTTTGATATGAAGAGATCTTGGAGATCACCTAGTCTATACTCTGGTAGTTTTACAGGTGAGAAAACTCAGGCCCAGGCTAAATGACTTGCCCGGAGTTATATAGGTAATAATTAGCAGAGAAAGGACATCAGGAGGTTTTTCTCCTAGGCAGAAAGTGATGCCACACAGATGCTAATCAAGAAAGGCAGTTTTGCCTTGAGTTGGTGGAATAAAAAGAGTGTTGGTGTCGAGGTGGTCACAGATATGAACGGCTGCACCAGGGTGGTTTTAGTAGAGTTAGCTAGGGGCGAAGCATCCCAAAACAGGATTATCCCTGGGGATTTTGTTAAAGTTATTTACTACAAGGTGATGGGGCAAAGATGGACTCTGGCAATGATACCTCAAGGGCTGATTATTGTATTGTCAGTGTTTGGTGGGGAACTCTCTTGTTGGGCAGGTTTGTATCATAGGCAGCAAAAGCAGAAAGATCAACCCTCAAAGAACCCCTGGAACCATCCCCAGTGTGATCAGAAACCTGCCCTGCCCTTGGAACCTTCATAAGTTGCCTTTCTCTCTCCTTTACCCCCACGAGCATCTTCCTATCCTCCTGCACCAGAGAAATCACTGCCCCATGCCTACACCAGGCTGTTTGACCCTAGAGAAATGGGAGGCAAATAGCAAGAAAAGTCTAGGGCCTTGGCGGTTACGGCTCCTGGCTGCATAGGGAACAGAAGGGACAGAGCAAAACCACACTTTCCTTCCTCTCCAAGCAAGAGGTCAAGTGCTGTGTGTGATTAGATCTGGCAGTGGAAGAAATACTTCTTCCTAAAAAAAGAGGCCATCCCAGAAGCTCCTGGGAAGGGGGCTTTTGATGAGATCAACCAGGGCTCTTTCCAACAAGAGATCTTTTCTCCTGGCACCAGGGAGAGCCTTGTCTTTAGTTGCCTGTTCAGAGAAAGAAGAAAATTTCCCCTCCTGGTTAATCTTCTGTTGGTACCTCTGGAGAAATTGTCTACTAGCAGATCAGTGAGCGTGGCTGGAGTGGGTAGAGGAGACCCAACAAACAGCTGTGACTTATTTTACCATCATTCCATTTTCCCTCTCCACCAGGGGGTAATGACCAGCATCAGGACCCACAAGTCTCCTGGAAATGGCTTTGGATGTCCAACCTCGGAAGCTTCTGTGCGGTGTTTGGTTTCTTGCTTCTCTCGAGGTTGTCAGGGGTCCGTGGCTGCTGTGTAGGTTACTGTCAGTTGGTGTATGACCTGCAACATTTAACCCAGGGCCTAGGGAAAAGAGAAGTAGGGAAAGGGTCCTGAAGTTAGGATCAAAGGCTTTGGCTACGAACAGATAAGAAAAAAGGGAACAGGGAGGAAATAATGGAATCAGGTTGGGAATTGGTTATCTTGGTGATGGTGGTTATAGGGGGACTGGTGGTGCTTTGCCTGGGGTGGGAGCTGGGGGGCGGGGATGGTTTGTGACACTTGGGTGGGGGAAGAAGAGGAGAAACATCTCACTGTTCATAGAGATGATGGAAATGGTAATTGTGGTGGTTGATGGTAGAGGAGATGATGGCCTTGACCATGGTAAATGGCAATTCTGTTGGTGATCCTGATGAAGAGGGGTATGCCCATAATTGGGTCACTGATGCCAGACAGCTGCTTTCGGGGGAAGAGTTGGCCAGGAGACAACACAACTTCCCTGGCACTAATGGGAAATGGGGTGCTTTGGAGGCAACATGGTGGGGAGGGGTAAGCGAGGCAGGTCTCTTCCCCCAGCCCTCAATGGTGCAGTCTGGGGACTTAGTGAAGGGTGACAGGATTGTTGGCTGCCTAGTTAGGCCGAGCTGAGGGGAAGCTGAAGCTCATTGAATCATTCATGAGCCCAGGATCTGTTTATCCAGCTCTCCCCGAGGGCTGATTAGGCCCCCTGCTCAAGAGGACTCAGCCGGTCGTGCTGAGCCATTACAGGGACATTTGTTCCTGGGCTCGAAAGCCATTTCAGGATTGTCAGCCAACCACAAAAACCTCTTCCCAGAGCCATTTGCCACAAACAAGACTGCACCTGCCATACTGGTCACCCTAGGTGGAGGAAGTCAGCCCCCCCTACTCCCCCCCAAAAAGAGTCACTAACTCTAACCCCTACCCAGTGATGTGGGCGTTCATTCTAGGGGGCCCTGGTCACCCTGTTGGGCTGGGGAGCTAGCCAGAAGGAGATGGATAAGTGGAAATTTAATATTTGATTCTGGCCATCCATATTGGTAATAGCTTTTTCTGCCTCTCCTGGGGAGGTGGATGGTATATGTCTGTGTAGGGAACTGTGATGTGGCTAAGACAGTGGAAAGGGAGAAGAGACTGCGTTGGGGGTGAATCAGGCTGAAGGGAACATGTATGAAAAAGTGTAGATAACCATAGCATGTGCAGAAGGCACAGATGCTACATGTTAACATGTGTGAGCATATGCCAGCATGCTTCCTCTTACTGGTCCTGTACCCAGGTTCTCCCCTAAATACGTGCCGGGACACATACATGTTCTCTTCTCCTATCAAGGGTTGTAGTAAATGACTTTAAATTGCAGAAGATAAGAGATGGAAGGTGAAGCACATAGCAGGTTGTATGGATAGGCAGTGAGGATTAGATTTATTCAGGCCAGGGTAGTCTCCCCACAGTTAGATTGAAGACTCATAGCTCTAGAGCTAGAGAGATCACAGACACTGTCACTCCCTCGTTTTAACCAATAAAAAGGAACTCAGGCCCAATGATGCCTCTACCACCAGGTAAATCGGCTGGTATAGTACTCTCTGATCACCTGCAAAAAGACACCAAGAGCCAAATTCCTTCCAGTGGACATGAAGGGAAATCTCATCCCAGAGACCCTAGTAGGTGACAGATGGTCATTCTAAGACTTTAATGCCCAAGTAGTCCCAGAGCAATCACAAATGCTTTGTCCTTGCCCCAGTTCTGTATCCTTGTTCCCCAGCTGGGGGATACAAAGGAGGGCTGTAATCGTACTGGATCTTTTGGATTTGATCAGCCTAAAGAAAAACTAGAGAGATTCAAGGACTGAGCCAACAGAGAGCTAAAGGTGAGGAAGGGAAAGTATCCTGACTTCTCTCTAGCTTGTTCAGCTCCCCTTTCATACACTTCTTACCAATGAGGCAAAGAGACCCCTGGTATCCGGAGAGGTCCATCCCATGACCCCAGTTCTGTCACCCAAGGAATAATTACCCCCACTTCCTCCACGCATTGAGTCTCTTTCCCCATTTAGGAGACTTTCTAAAAAATTTAAATTAATAGATATTTTCCATTTGGAAGATTTCAATTGAGGGTTAAGAGGATAAGGTACATGAGGTTTTGAGCTCTTCAAAAAGAACATGACTGATTCTCAGTAGTTCTCTTCTGTTTGATGAGAAGTATGTGATCATTACTTGTCTGTGAATCCATGTGTGCTAGTAAATGTGAGTTCAGATGTGAACAAATGTGAGTCTGTAAACATGTGCAGGTCCCGTGGGAGAGTGTGTATATGTATGAAAGTGTATATGGTGTACTCAGAGGGAGGATTAGTTCTCACCACTGGTTTGCCTGGGCTCTGTGTCCCTCCCACCTTCCTCCTGATGGCAGGAGACAGGCACCACAGCTGCAACAGCTGGATGGTGGGTATTATTTCTGAGAGGTTGAGCCCTAGATTCCCATTGCATGCTGGGAAATGTAGTTTCTCCCTAGTTTCCCGGGGCTGCCCTAGCCTGTAGCTTTCTAGCGTAACATTTCCATCATTGGACCCAAGAAATAAGCCCGGCCCTTCTTTTGACACCAGACTTAGCCTAAATACTAAGCTTAGACCATCTACGTTGAGCTATAACCCCGGCACTGTTCCCACCCTCAACCCTGCTCCGCACCCCCCTCCCCACCCAAAAAAACCCCAAAAAACTAAACACCACTCCAGCTGTCAGTCAGACTTTGATTCCCCTTTGTAGGGCCCATGGAGGGGAGGCAGTAACCTGGGCTCTGGCCAGCCAGCAGCAACACTTCCTTAGCTCAGTTCCTGCTGTAGCTGCTCCCAGCTGCTGGCCCTCCTCCCCCAACCCCGGGCTTTGCTGCTGGCATTGAGACAGGAACTACTAGATGAATGTGACAGCTGGCAGGGCTAGAGGGGGTGGGGGTCGGGTCAGGCAGCAGCAAAAGCGGATGCCTCATTCCTGAGCATACAGCCTTCTCTGTTTGGGAGGGAGTGGAGGAAGCCTTACTCCCTACATAGCCTGAACCCTAGCATCAGAATACTTTCACTGGAAAGCCATTTGAGCCATCCCCCTGCCTCCAGGCTGACTGCTCAGCTAGCTGGACAAGAGGCCCACCTTCCTTATCCTGAAAGGTCCTCAAGAAGGAGGCCTCCTCCCCCCACCCCCTTAGGGCCTACCAAGACA